ATCTACATAGCACATGGTAATTAAAAGTACCAGACTGGTGTAACTAACCTTGTTGGATGTTTAATAGCCAGACTCTAGGGCCTATATTAATCTGGTCAGAGGGACTTAAAGGGACAAATTTTTGTTCCTGGCCCTCCAATGTCAAACAAGTTCCAGGGGCTATGGCACATCTCTTGAAATGTCATGTAACTTTGGAGAGTCACCTGTCCTCTTGTTCAGGGGGCCATGGAGACCCCAGAAGATGGACTTGAATCAGTGTCCAGTCTGCAAAGAAGGTCAACACAGAGGAAACATTTCTTCCATGCTTCCATGTGAAGCCCTGGTCAAGCAAGACCTTTTGACTTATCTTCACATAGATGGAACTGGTAAAAGAAAAGCCTGAGGAGCCAGGGGCTCCCCCCAAGCCCATGTGACCCCTGAGGACCAAATCCACCTTAAGAGGAAAAATAAATTGGTTTATTTGGGCCAACAGTATGGCCTTAAACACCCAAAAGGAAAGTATAACCAAAATTAAAGTCATCAGTATATTTTAAGGGTTCAAGGGATTGCAGAACACAGACAGTAGCCGTAAGCTCTTATGTTATTAAGACAATTATCTTTCATTGATGATTTTGTTTCTAATAAGACTTTACTCAGATGTAAGACTTCAAATCTTGGTCTACAATACTGTAGTGCCCACCTATAGCTAAGGGAGGCAACCCACTATTGTTCTGGCCTAAAAATTAAATGATGGCTAAATTTGTTTTCTCTCTTTATCTAGAAGCCTTTGAAAGGTAACTGACACTGATTCTAGCCACTCCAACAGCTATCAAAATGCCTGAAAACAAATCCTGAGTCCATCACTCTCAAGTTCACCCCTGGCAGAAGGAAAATGAAAAAATGAGCTATTATCTTGGTACTAACCATTGCTCCTTGCCTCTTCAGGTATTTTCAGGACCAAATCCAAAAACTAACTCATACTAATTTTAATCAGTTGTTACTTTCCTTCCCCCCACATGGATACAAGCACCTGTCAACCATCGAGGACCCTGTTGAGATGCATGAAGAGGGAACCCCCCCCCCGCTGTCTGACCGACCCCTAATCCAGTGCCCCTGTCGACCCTGTCCAGCAGGAAGTAGCAAGACGATAATGGCGCCCCATAGCCTATAACACAAAAGACTGGAATGTTAAGGTTCAGATAGCCCCACCCCCTCACCAATAGGGTCCCAAGGACTTCTCATGCTCCTGAGAAAAGGGAACTGAGCTGATAAGCGCCCTGGTCTTTGAAGTCAAGAGAAACAGATTTTTCTCCACTGTTTGGCCAATACAGCAGGCTTCCCCTTTGATCTCTAAAGAGAACAGGTTTTAACAGCCCCGCTCTGCCCCCCAACTTAAAAAAAAATACATCTTCCCACCTTCTGCAGGAAGCAGAAGCCTCCCTTTTTTAAAAAAAAGACCCCAGCTCACGACCCAGGGCAGACATTTTCCCTGCCTGGAAGGGAATCTGTCCCATGTGTTCCTTTGCTAATAAACTCTGCTTTCTCCTGATCAACCCTGTTTGTCGTACGGCAACTTTTTATCTACCACTAACCAAAATACATGAATAAACAAAAAAAAACCCAGTGACTGCCAACTACCAGGCTATGAAGGGACATCAGAATTACTGGTAAATTATGGCTAATGAAGTTGACATATCTTGTGAATTTATTATTATTCAATAGATGCTGGCATGATAAAAAAGAACTATGTTCTATGTTGGGCTATGTTTCTGACATAGCAGTCTCACTACAGCCTGTTGTACTCCACAGAGAAGCACATGATTCCCCCCCCCCCCGCCGCCCCATCTTCCTTCAGTCCACTGGCTCTTTGAGAGTCTTGGAATGAAGCACAGGTTGGCCTAGAACTTGCAATCCTCCTGTCCCAGTCTGCCAAGTGCTGGGACTACAAATGTATGCTACCACACCTGGCAACATTATCTTCAACAAAAAAGAAACACTTTTATGAGCTAAATGGTTTTCCCACAGTAAGAGTGTTTTGCACTTAAAATTGAAAATCCAAATCAGTTGCTTGTTTCCTCCAGCGAAACTTATTGCATAGAGTATCTTTCTTTATGTTGAAAAACTGTTCTGTAATTAGAGCCATTCTTTTTTAAGCCCTCATCACTTCCTGTGTCTTTCCCTTTGTGCCTGATTAACTAAACTAAATGCTGTGGATAGTTGTGGTGCTGCTGTGATAGGAAGACTTTTTTTTTTTTTTTAAACATTGGCCATTAGATCGTTTCCTCCTTCTCCTACTAAAAGGCTAGTGCTAATACAAGGCTCTACACATCCCTTTCCAAGATGAAAGTTATAATTTAAGTGGAAATATACTGCACAATCCACAATATATTGCTCCGGATTATAATGCAGATCTCCTTTTTTAATTTTACCACTAGCAAACAGGAAAAGACCATGTCTCCTGGTGTCACAAAGGAAAAATATGGTGTAGTTACATCATTTTTGCCCCAGGGTACTTTGACCCTTTAAAGCAGTTAACTCTGAGGCTACTCCTTCCTGGCCTGCTTATCCTGTTGGAAGGAATGGGTGAGGACTGCTCATTCTTTCCCTAAGAAAGAAAAATTCTCTCAACAGAGTACTGAGAAGCCAAGTGGATAGCATTTGATTGTTATGCAATATTATATTTGGTAGAAAATATAGTAATTTGGAAGAAAATATTTACTTTTTTTTCTTTTGAGACAAAGTCTCACTATATAGCTCTGGCTGGTCTGGAACTCCCTATGGAAACAAAGTTGATTCTCTTGCCTCTGCCTCCCAATTTGAGAGCATAGATATGTGCTACCTGGGTTTGATTCTGAAATTTTTGTTTTACAAAAGGGATGGTCATATTGTTGCCAAGAGGTCCAAATACCACTTTTCCATCTTCAGATTTTAGCTTATTTCATTCGTTTGTTTTAAAAAAATCATTAAGTACCTACCATTTGTCCACTGAACCAGTCTGGTGTGTTTCCTATGGCTATGGTGTGCATCTGTAGAGGTGAACCGCACCCACTGGTATTGTATAGTCCACAATTTCATGGTTATAAGTGGTCACTGCCACCATGGCATATTAATCTAGGAACTTCTAGCAAGTCTTGCTTGAACTTCCACTCCTTTCAGACTGGACAAAATGCTCCTATTGTCTGCTCTGTAGGACCTCCAGCTATAATAGTGTTATGGCCTGTGTTAGATTGTAAACTTTGGACTGAGACTATGACTATTCTGCTAATTTTTAGGGGCTAGAGCTGCACATTAAGATAAAAATCCCTACCCTTTAAGAGCTGACCATCTAGCAAGAAAAAAAGAGTTAATCACATGAAAGAAAGAAGATTGCCTGTTAGGACAGAAATACTGTGGAGAAAAAGTATGAGAGGGGTTTTCCTCACCTGCCTTAGGTCTTTGCTAAAATACTATCCTATTAAACTTTCACAAAGGAAATCTTTGGAGACTTGTAATAGAAAAGAGATGCTAGCTAAAAAGAAAAACATTGTAGGAATAGAATAGTAGCCATCCTTAGCAAAAAAAAAAAAAAAAAAAAAAAAAAAAAATAACAGTAAATCAAGGCAGTATTAAAATTTGACTTTTTAGGGATCAAACCACAGAGAATAAAGATTTATACAGAATATAAAGAATAAGGGCCCAGCCCTATTTCCTTCTAAAACTCCAGTAATTTTTAAATTGGCCCAGGTTGTAGTTTTGCAAAGTAGCATGGAGATACAGCTTCTGTAACCAGAAGGGGATCTTGTGGCCTTGAGTCACTCTTTTTTGACAGTCTCATACATAAATACAATATACTGTGATTGTATTCACTTCCCCATTACTCTCTGCTAGCCACCTTCCTTTCCACCTAGACCCTTTAATGGGTACACTATTAGAAAAAATGGCACTCCTCTCCTCCAACAACCATTAATAGTACTGCTCCTTAAGAAAGGATGGGGCCCCATGGGTACCTCCTTTATCCTTAATAAAAAGTTGGAAGGCCCAGTCTTGTGCAAGTATCCATAACTTCTGTGTGTTCATGGCTCCAATAGCACTTCATGACTGCCAGTGTTTTATGATGCTCCTCTGAAGCATCTCCAGCTCTTAAATTCTTTCTACCCTCTTTTTTGCCATGTTCCCTGAAACTTGGTGGTGTGTTTGATAGCTGTCAAGTGTAAGGCTCATCAGTCACTTATGCACAGCACTTTGACCACTTATGAGTTTCTGCATTAACTGTCACCCTCTGCAATAAAAGAGCTTCTCTGGCCCGAGTTGAGAGGAGCACTAGTCGGCTTGGTGGAGGTAGGGGTGGGGCGGGGCATGGTACAGTGTTGAAACCTCGGGTTTTCTTAACCAGTCCTTGATTGCTCCTTATGTATAAAGAAAGTGTTCTCATAAAGAAATGAAATTGGTTAATCAAGAGACACCAAAAACAGGATCTGGGGCTGCAAAGATGGCAAGAGTACTGGCTGCTCTTGCAGAGGAATGGGGTTCAATTCTCAGCACCCATTGGCGTTTAACAACCGTCTGTAACTCCAGGGGATCTGTCGACCTCTTCTGGTCTCTGCGGGCTTTGCACAATTTGGTTGCACTTACGTTACATCCAGGGAAAACATTCATACGCATTAAAAAATTAAAAATCAAACCAGAAACCAGAATTTTACTATGTAGCCCAGGCTGGCCTTGACCCTGTGATCCACTAGCCTCAGTCTCCCGGGTGCTGGTTTTACAGGTGTGTGCCCCCATCCATGCCCGGCTGTATCCTTATTTCTTACTCCTATTCATACCTAGCATTTTAGAGTCCATTATGCGTCTAGGGGAGGAATAAAACGTATCTCTTCCCTCCTCTCTCCATCTCGCTCTCTAGACTTTGGACAGGTGCAGATTCATCATCTGGACCCCCAACCTCCCAGCCCTCCTGGCTCAGGCCAGCCCCCACCTCCATCCTCCCCAACCTCCACCCTCCCCAACCTGGAAACTATAGGCGCCGGCGTTCCACTACGTCAGAACTACATTTCCCGGAAACCTTTGCGCACCCCCTCCCGCTCCACAACGCCGGCGTGGCGCATGGCCTGCCGGGAGCGGACCAGGAGGTAGTGGCTAGGCCCAATGGGTGCAGGCTCCCGAGGAGAGGGCGGAGGAGAAGAGGCAGGCAGGCGGGCGGTGGGTTGCGTCCCCATTCATTGCTGGGGCCTGCTGGGCGGGGGTCCCGCGTTCTCGGAGTCATGGAGGCGCTAATCCCGGTCATCAATAAGCTGCAGGACGTCTTCAACACAGTAGGCGCCGACATCATTCAGCTGCCTCAGATCGTCGTGGTGGGAACGCAGGTGAGAGCCGGGCGCTGCTCTGCGGCCGTGGGCCTGCGGCGCGGGCGGGAGGAGGCCGGGTTGGCCGGCGGGCGCGGGGCTGCGGGCTCTGGACTCCGGGAGGGGCTGCACCGCCGGGTAGCGCGGCAGCGAGGATCCGTTCGCAGCGCACTCCGCGGCCTGGCGGGCGGGATGCAGCCGCGGTGCGTGGGGCCCAAGGGCACCTGGGGGACGCGGGCCAGGCGGCTGCCGCTTCCTTCCGGAGGCTGCGACTCGAGGTGGAGGTGGAGCCGCCTTGGGGCTGAAGGGCAGCTTCCCGCTGGGGCCTGGGCGGCTCCCGCTTCCGAAAGGCCCAGGCAGCATGAGAACATAAATATACAGTCAACAAGCCCTTATGCTCTTGGAGTTCTGTGGTCGTGAGGAAGGAACATGCATTTTTTCCTGTGCACTCCATGATTTTTGTGTCCAGAGTTTTGTGGTTGTGACCTAAAATTGGCCCAAGGTTCTCTGGTCTTTTCGTGTGGCTGCTGCAGATGTCATAATTTTTATATGAAATGTTGAGGGAATAAATTTCTAGATTTAGAGAAGTGTTCGTTTCATTGTTTTCTACTTGCAGTTTTTGACTGAAGAGGAACGGGTTTCAGACATGCTTGTATGTAGATTTTGGGGGTTTGGTTTTGAGACAGGTTCTCCCTATGTAGCCCCAGCTGGCCTCCATCTCAGCAGTCTTTGGAGTGCTGGGCAAGGTACCACGCCCAGGTTTTTTAAGAGTATACATTTTAAGTGTTCTTATTTGTTAATAGTGTCTCTTTTGCGTGATGGTTTCTCATTTTTCCATTGGTTGCACTTACTCTTAACTCCCAATGGAAGTGTATGTACAGTGAAGTGTTATGAGAAGGAAGTCGCAACTCAGAGACTGTTAGAAGAATATCCAAATGCTGCATACCTAGGTTGGAACCACACACATCCTGTAGTTTTTTACTGTTTATTTGGCTCTTAAATGGTTAAAGCAATAGAAATAATTTTGGAACCATTTCCTTGGTCTCTTATAGGATTAGTATAGATTCTGCTCGATCCTAACTGCATATTCGAGTGTTGTAACAATGCAACGGTTGGAGGCAGCAGAATCATGAGAAACAAACTACACAGTATTTTATTGAGCATATTATGTTCATTTGGGTCCTTTTAGGAGGTCCCTAAAGATTGTGAATGATGCATACTGCTCACTGTAACTAGATAATATAAAACACTTGGGACTTCTGTACTCAAAACTGTTCTGTTTCTGTGAAGAAAATTGGAGGAGAGGCTATAATTAAATTTTCCTTTGCAATTACTTGGGATCCTTAGCTATCTGTAGACCAGAAAATTTGCATATATTTTTAAGAGATTTTGAATTGCATTTTAAACATGAATCCAAAAAAAATCAATATAGTTTTTATTGTTTATGCTATAGTTTATCAGCATAAATAGTTTAAAATCAAGAAGGTTTTTCTTATACAAAATAGAGTTTGTTTTAGTCAGTAGAACTGTTAGTTGGCAAGAGAAGGCCAGGGAAGTAAAGAAGGAATACTTCTGAAACCCAGTCCAGTGATAGATGCCTCTTGTGCATGATCGTGTTTGAAATTTCAAAGGATTGGTTTTTGACTTGAAGTTTTTCTCTGTTCAGCTCCTTAGTAGCGGGAATTCAGTTATTATTTAAATAGAAAAGAAATGAATCCCCCCATGCTTAGCACACCTTTACTCTTGGCATCTTCGCCATTTTTACTCTTGATAACATAGAACCAACTGCAGCACATAGTTCCCATTCTTATTTAATCGAGTGGTGTACAGTGATTTCCAGATATGAATATTCTGCATATAGTTCCTGTCTTTTTAAACAGGTAGAGGGACCATCTTCCCCATCATCTGTGCATTAAATGACGGCAGGCTTCTTCCTGTTGAACTTGTTAAAACGATGATTCTCAAACTGCAGCATGTGTTAAAATTACTCAGAAAATAAATTTCCTGGATCATATGCCTAGTCTGACGTCAGCATGGTAACATGGGTGATTTTGATACAGGTGGTTCATAGATCTAAACTGAAAAGTGTATCGAGTGTATTTTTGAGTTTTCAAATGCACAGTGCTAGAAAAAGCAAGAATAATCTCGGGGACCCGAGTCTGAGAGCACGTTACCATTCAGTACATACTGATTTGAGTGGCATTCTTTCTCCAACACATTGATCAAAGGCCGCCTTTCCAGTTCCTAGCACATTGGATCTTTACTACATTGCTCAAATAGTACTTTCTGTGGGGGTGGGATGGGGGCGTGGTTCAGGGAGTTGGAGACGTTAGGGAAAAGAGGATCATCATGTTTAGAGGTTGTTTACATTTTTTATTACTTGCTAAATGCTTTCTGTTTCCCCCATGAGATAGTCTGTGTAGAAAGACAAGAGAATGGGGAGAAGGAAGGTTGATGCTTTGAGACAATGGTGCACTTTGCACTTTGTAGGTTGAGAAGAAGTTAAGACATAAGCAGCTTTTTGTGACATAACTTGAGAAATGTAATAACTGTTTTGTTGTTGTTACTGTTTGTTTTGAGACAGGGTCTCCCTGTAAATCACTGTTTTAAGTGGAGAATTGAAAAGGGAAGGGGAGCACTCCAGGTGTGTAATCCAAACCTTCACCCAATACAGGCATCACAATGTAGATGCCATTAACAGAGCCTGGCATAGTGTTCCTTGTAATGTATTTCCTACTTTGCCTTTTATTCCAGTGAGTTTAGCACTCCATCTTTACAGGTGAAGACACATGTAAAAAGGTTTTAGTAACTATTTTGTAGACTAACTTTCTAACATTTAGAAAATTGAAATATTTATATACCATAAAAAATCATCATTGTGTAGTACACAATTCTGTGACTTACAGTATAGTCACAGTTCTGGAATTAACACCACTGTCAAATTCCAGAATTTTGTCATTACCTCATAAAGAAAACCTTTACCCATTGAGGGGGTACACTCTTTCATCTTGCCTCCTCCCAACCCCTGACAAATATTAATCTAGTTTTGCTATAGATTTGCCTGGTATAGTTGTTTCATGCACATGGGATCATATGGCATGGGTCTTTTGTATTTGGTTTCTTTTACCCAGGATGATTTTTTTTTTAGATTCATCTGTATGTAATGTTAGCATAGGTTGAGTATCCCTAATGTAGAACAATCTCATGTGCTACAATATCCAAAACATTTTGAGTGCTGATGATGCCATAAGTGTATACTTCTATTACCTACATTCTTGTGACAGACAGATTGTAGTTAAAACATAGGAATGGCCTGGAGAGATGGCTTAGTGGTTGGGTGCTTGCTGCTTTTGTGGAGGACATGAGTTCAGTTCCCAGCCTGTAACTACAGTTCCAGGGGATCTGACACCCTCTTCTGGCCTCCACAGACACCTGTACACAGGTAGTATGCACTCAACATAGACACACCCATATATACACATAAGTAAAAATAAGTCTTTAAAACACAGGCACATTAAAAATATTGATAAACATGAAGCATAAATGAACTGTTTAGATTTTTATCTCATCCCTATGATATCTCATTATATACATGCAAATAGTTAAATCTAAAAGAATTCCAAGTCTTCATTCAGTCCCAGACATTTCAGATACAAGCTATTAATCTGTATTTCATTCTTTTCTGTGGTCGAAAAATAACCCAGGTATAGATTTACCACAGCTTGTTTATCCATTTGGCAGCTGATAGACATTGGTGGTTACTACTGAAATCAGGTCACCATCGATGTGTGAGTTTACTTCTGGACTTTGAATTCTTTTCTGTATGTCTGTTCTTAGGCCCTTGTCATGCTCTTTTCAGGTTGCTTGGTTGTTTGGGGTCCCCTGGCGACCCATGTGAATTTTAGCATTGTCTTTCCCATTTTTTTTAAAATATTTTATTTACTTTTATGTGTATGAGTGTATTGCCTGCATGTAAGTGCACTCTTGTCATGCAATGCCTGCAGAGGTCCGCAGAGGGTGTCGAATTCCTCTGGAACTGGAGTCAACAGACTTTAGCCACACTGTGGGTCCTGGGAATCGAACCTAACTATATAGAGAATGGATTCCACATATGAATATATCTTCCTTTTTAATTTTTATATCCATTGGTTTTTATTGCATCTGCTAATTGTAGTGAGTCTGAACATTTCACCATAGCTCTTGACCCTTTGTGAGTCTGTTGTGTTTTTGTCCCTGTTTTTGCAACTCATTTTCTATTAGATTAATCTTTGTTTGATTTGTACGCATTACTTATTTATATTTATTACTAATTGTTTTTTCTGGTGATAGAGATTGAACACAGTGCCTTATACATGTTGATAAGCATGAATTTGCCCACACCAGCCCCCTTCCTCTTACAAAGTTCCCATAGCAGTCTCATGTCTCCTTGTTTTGTTTTTACATGGGCACAGGCATGGAGCTGTTCACTGGAACGTGGGTAATTCAACCTTTGAAGACAGGTATCTTCCTGTCCCCCAGCAGTCCTCTAGTGCCATTAGCTTCCTTGGGCAGGGCAGGGCCCATAAGTCAGTCCCTCCTCATCTGTGACAGAATGAATATGGTTTCAGTCTTGTGCAGAAAATGGGCATGCAACCATAGCTACTGTGAGTTCATGAGTGCCATGACCATGCCATGCCAAGATAGCATTTTATGGCTCTGCTCCTCAGCATCTACCTCTCATAGTCTTTTCTACCCTGTTCTCAGATGTTTCCTGAGAATTGGAGAGGGTGATATATGGCTGTCCCATTTAAGGCTGAGCACACAACAGTCACTTGTCCTCAGCACCCTAACCAGGTGAGTCTTTGCATAAACCACCATTTGCTTCAGAGAGAGAAGCTTGTTTGATCAAGGCTGAGGACAGCACTAATCTGTTAGCCATCTCTCCATCTTCTAGTGTCTATCTCAATTTCTTCAGTGTCTTAAAGTTTTCATTTTAGAGGTTTTTGTTTCCTTGGCTAGACTTATTCCATAACAATAATTTA